ACACTAGTATCTTAATATTGGCTACTAGGGCGTAGTTTGTAATAACTAGTGCTTAAATAGCTACTAGTTATATAATTAGTAGAGTTACTAAATTAGGGTTAACCTTATCCCATAGGTTATACATAATATAGCGTGCCTATAGCTATATATACTATCCTATAAAGTTATTATAGTTGTAGAGCGTTATCTCTACGCGCTAAGGGGTTAATTAGGCCGTTATAGTTAATTGGTATATTGGTTAAGGTAGTAAGACTCTTAATTATTAGATTTATATAGTGATTTAATAGATGTCGGTAATCTAGAGATGAGATAAATTGATTAATTATTATTATATACGTGTATTCTACCAGCTTTTATTGGGTTCCTATCAACTATCCCTTGCTTTGGGGCTGGGTGTCTAGTAAGGGCGGATGGCCAGCTATCCCTACCACCTGCCCGGAGTACTATCCATACCAAGGTAACTTCGTAGGCCCTTATCTAATAATAGTAAGATACTTAGTACACGCCCTTATATCTAATAGCCTTAGTGGCTGTAGTGCGATAAATCAATTAATGTTATTAAAGATATGGCAAGTTGTGCCTAAGTTAAGGATCACTAAGTTATAGAGTAGATATATATTTAGCTTAGAGAGAGTTACTATATTAAAGCTTATATAGACTAACGTGACTTTATAGCCATCTAGTTACTTATTACTTACCTCTATTAATCGGGTCGGCATTAGCGTATGGGACTATTTAATATAAGGTGTTTATATTCGTGATCTACTTTAACTTTAAATTAGCCCTTAAAACGCGCTATTATATTTACGTTTAAGCTTAATTAGTTTACTAATAGCTGGTCTTAGTTTCTACCATATAGGTGCTAGTTCCTTATAAAGGTAAAAGTAGTCTTTGGCTATATGGCTTTGTTTATATGCTAGGTATGGGCCTATGGTGTTTAAAGGCTTATTATATGATAGCTAAGAGGTCCCGTATGGATACGCTCTCTTTTATTTTAAGGGACGTCCCTTAGATGGCATGTGTTTAGTATAAGAGGCGTCCCTATTATTACCCTAAGTAGTTTCACCACTATTAGTTAGAAAGGCTCTATTAGTTATGAAGGCCGCTTTATGCTTACTCTTCGTGCTAGGGTGGTTTACCATTATATATTCTTAGAACCATTTTATTATCTCCTTTCTAGTCATGCCGGCGGCGTATCTACTATAGTCTTAGAAGGCCATAGCCTATATGGGTACCACTTTGTTAACAGCTACTAGAAAGTCCTTTATAATTACATTTAGTTACGTTACTTTAGCAACCCTATAGGTCTCCGCTTTTATAGCTGCCTAATTATATTTAGTAAGCTAGGTTTCCTATTAATTAACACTTCTCATTACTTTTAGAGCTATAAGATATCTATCTCTAGCGT